CTGACGCTCACTTCCTCGTGGCTTTGAGAACAGCAGGAAGGTGTCCCCAGGAGTGATGGTTAATTTGTGTGCGGATTCGGCTGGGCGGTGGGGCCCGGCCATGTGTCAGATGCCTGTCTAGATGCTGCAGTGAAGGTGTCTGGAGAGGAGATTGACATGTAAAGCAGATTGCTCGCCGGAATGTGGGTGGGCCGCATCCAATCAGCTGAAGGCCTTACAAAGAAAGACTGAGTGTCCCAACAAAGAAGGTTAGATGCTGGACACTCAGGTTACGTAGGTGAGTGATGAAGAGACAGATGACCGGTAGATCATAGATAGGCAGACAGATGGAAAGGCGGCCAAGTTAAGCTGAACGATCGTCCTGGAAGGGGCTGGTGGGGCGTGGCCAGCCTCCCGCTCCTTCCCAAGGACTGTGGTTAGGCTGGCGGCGGGCTCTCCAGGAGGCGTGCCGACCTCGCAGAGAGTCCGGGCGAGGACCTCTCTGGCCTCATTCCCGCTGACCCACAGCAATGCCCATCATGTACACGGTGTGGATGGGCGGGGGAGTCCCCCGGGCCCTGGAGTGGGGTATTGGGCTGCTGGGCTTTGTGCCTGGCCAGCAGACTGCCCACATCACAGGAATCCTGCCGACAAAGCAAATACTGGCCTTTGTGTGGGAAGGGCCCGGTCAGCTCCCGGACAGCAGAAGGCCAAACTGCTGAGGGCAGGCTTAAGCCGGCAGCCAGAAACAATGAGAGAGGGGACAGCACGTCTGGGCGGGCCGCCCTTAAGCAGCATTTCCTGTCTACCTCGGGCTTTGCAAGGGTTTGACAAAAATTCCTGACGGGTCCTGATTTGTTTAGATAGTAGAGAAGGGCGGTCTCGGGGATTGTGGCTCACGCTCCCCAACACACACCGCACACAGAGACACATGCTGACATGTGTGCATACCACACGCAGGGACACACACACAGGCACAGCCAGCCGGGGGACCTGTCCTGACAGCCCTGGTGCCCCACACCTGTCCCGCTGTCTCCCTGGTTCCTTTAGCGGGTCGCCCTCCACCCAGGACCCTGACCTGAGCCCACACCCAAGCACGTAGCCCCTTCACTTTCAGCTTGTTGAGTCTCTCAGGGAGCAGCCCTCCTCTCTCTGTCTCAGACTCACACGCTGTGATGGCCTGAGTCCTTGGGACGCAGGGTCCGTGCAAGCAGCCGGGTCCCCCCGATGTGTGGGGGGCCCGAGCACCTTGCATGGGCGTGGCAGGGCCTCAGCAGGTGTCTGGGATCAACGGAACCGCCTCTGGATTCAGTTTCTGTTCTTGGCTTTAGGAGAAGCACACTTTTTTGTTTGATTTTTAGAAAATTTACCCATTTTCTCTTCAACCTGCCACGCCCTCCCAACAGCCTGGGCCAAAGGGGGCCTGCTGTGCCCCTGCTGCCGGGGCAGCTCTCTGGGCCTTGGTCTCCCCGGGGAGCACCTGGGCGAGCCAGTGCCTCATGGTCGCCTCCCAGTGTCCCTAGGCGACGGCCCCACGTGCCTCCTGGCTGGATGCATCTGGCTTTGCTGGCCTCTCTCCACCTCAGGCCAGCTGACCGGCCTCTCAGGCCGAGGTGGCCAGGGGGGTCAGGGAGGGGCTGGTGGGGGCCAGCTACGCTCTCTCTGGAGTCTCCATCCGGTGCACAGGTGGAGGGGACGGCTCCTGCCCAGGAAGCTGCAGTTGGGGAGCTGCGGAGAGGGGCCAGCAGGTGGTGAGTGGAGGCGGGACAGCGGGCCAAGGGTGGCGTGCTCACACAGTCCCTGGGGAGGAAGGTGCAGCTCAGAGGCGCCCAGTCCCCCTCCTGATGGGGCCCATCTCCAAGTACAGTTGCGTTCTGGGGTACTGGGGGTCAGGATGCCAACATGAATTTGGGGGGCCACAATTCAGTCCTTAACACCTGCTCTCCACAATGTCTTGTGACCCCCAAAGCAGTACTCGGCCCTTTCACGGTCACTCACTGACCACAGTGGCAGACCCAAGTCGCCGTCACCCCACAGGCACGCGAGCTAAACTGGAACAGGCCACCCTCCGCCTCCGGCCACCCCATGAGCGAGTGTGATTCCCAGAGTGCACACAGTGCCCCGTCTGTGTGTGCTGGTGGGGGCTCCAGCGCTCCAAACAGCCCCCAGTGCAGCGCGGAAGGGCCCCTCGAGTCCTCGGCAGCAGACGGACGGCTGTGACGCACCCCGGAGGAGGAAATGCGTGTGTCAGAGAAGCTTCGTTCAGGCACGGGCGACGTGCCATCGGCTGTGAGTTCAGTGTTAATGAATCAACGGCATCTGTTGAGTCAGTTGCCTTTGAGTGGAAACACACAAGATTATCTATTGATCGGTTGACAAAACTGTTGTGACCAGAGGCTTGCAGGAGCCTAATGGCTCAGCATTTCCTAATTCAGTCCACAGCAACTTTGTAGAGTGGAGTAGCAACCGAGGACAAGCAGAATTGTTTATTTCACCTGGTCATCGATTCCTTGGAACTTAGACTAACAAGAGAGGAGGGTAGTTTGGGGGGATAGTTTAGACCTGATAGCACCTGGGGGTAATGAAAAAAATACATGGACCTCGAGTTGGTTTTATGACTGTTTAAAATCTTCCCAGACTTCACTCCCCTTTAGCACGCGGCCAAGACCCTTCTCCCGCATTTGACAGGTCCTGGCTCTGAAGTGGCATCTCCAGCGTGAGTTCACGGAGGAGCCCAGGCCCAGACCCGAGGGCCTTGTTGGGCTGTGCCAGGTGGTGGGGCGGGGGTGAGGTGAGAATAAACCCGCACACACGTGTCGGAAACACCGTGTCCCCCACTGCCCCTCATCCCTGCTGCCTCAGTGCCAGCTCACTCTGCAGGCCGTGCCCACCAGCCATGCAGTCCTCCCCTTGGAGGACTCTGGTCTCTTGGCCTGCCACACACACAGCTCCCAGCCCGGAGAGGGGTGTGTCAGGGCTGGGAGTGGGGCCAGGGCACTTCTGAAGGCCTGCAGGACCTCTGTGGACCCTTGGCCACCTGGAGCTGGGGGGCCCCCAGGACGAGGTCGGCACCTCAGACTTGGTCCCCGCCTGCAGTCCCAGACTGTCTGATTGACGGCAGCGGGGTCCGGTGCAAGGCAAAGACAGCGAGGCCTCCCCTCGGTGCCAGATGTCAGGGGACACGAAAAACCTGTCATCGGCACAAATCACCTCTTAATGCAATGTTTGAAAAAATAAAAATGAATGCAAAACTGTGTGATGAACAAAATATTGGAATTTTACATGAAGCTGGGATCGGCACTATTGAATTGCCCTCTGTCTCGGCTCTGGGATGGCTCTGCCTGACATTGGCCACCTCCTTGGCCCTGCGGGACCCTCTCCACAAAGGACGCTAGTGCCCCTTCCGTCCACTTCCCCGTGCCCAGGAGGGCTCTGTGTGGGGCTGCCCACCACCCTGCCTGCACCTCTGACCTGCTGTGATGCTCACCCCAGCCTGGGCTGGGGTCTGCACTGAAAGCCCCTTTTCTCTTCCAGGCCTCAGGGCCTGGGCATGCGGGTTAAACTTCCTAACCCCACTTTCCTGGTCTGTGAAGTGGGGGATGTTGGGACTCACCTGCCATATAGTGTTGGCAAGGACCCTCTGGGTCACCATCTGTGTGGCCCACCACAGGCCTGGGCCGGAGGAGGTGGTCTGACACCGCCGCCCTGCCTGTCTGCACGCCAGTTTGGCCCTTGTTGCCTGGCACCCTGGAGAATGGCTCCCTGAAATAACAGATTTCCAGGGCAAAGGCGGCATTTCCAGGTGTTTCGGGACCCGTCACCGCCAGGCTGGTGCTCGGAGACGCAGGAGGACGGGTTTGGTGCGGGGTCCCACTGGCCGGAAAGGAGACACCGGGGACGCTCCAGAATCCCCACGGTAAAAGCCGATTCCGTCCTCGATACGTTGGGCACAATCCTGCTTGAATCCCCGGTAAGTCCTCTCTCTTTGGGGCTGCAGTGAGAGACCAGTCTGCCAGGGTCCCTGGGGCTTTGAGGGTGTGGGCGTGGCACAGCCGGGCCCGGACGAGGGCGGCCCAGGGGTGAATAAGCAGCCTCTCACCGACCGGTCTGGCCTTCACGAAGCCAGCTGATAAGCACTAGGAACCACAAAGCATTTTCCTTCCTGTGGCTGCACCGGAGCATAACGCTCCCCAGGGGCCAGACTACTGAAAACACCCGGAGCCTTGAAACTGACTCCTGGCAGACGCCTTCTGGGATGTGTCCTGAGTGACAGGTGGGCAGAGAGAGAGAGAACCCGCGAGAGAGAAGCCGACAGGACCCCGGCCCAGAGCAGTGACAGCAGGCATGAGGCGCAGGCCTGATGGGCACCTGGTTGTCCGGACATCGTGCCCAGGAGAGGACACGCTGGCCGGGTCCGCATCGGGACGCTGCTTCAGGGGAGCCTGGGGGCGGGCCCCGTGTCCGTGAACCTGAGGGCGCCTGCCCGCGTGGGTGCATACGGGCCCCAGTGCTGAATGGCAGGCGCCTTTTATTGCCTGGGGTTTGCTGTCTTTCCTGGGCATTTTGCAAGTGTGCAGAATGGTCGTTAACGGGAAGATGCAATGGAGGCGATTCCGGTTTGTGGGACAATGTGCCCTCGGCTAATAGCGGTGGGGTTTGGGGGCTGCTGGTCTAGCCTCTGGGCCTTAGTTTCCTTGTCTGTGATGCAGGAGTATGAGCACCCACAGGTGGGGTCACACAGGACAACTGAGTGGACAGCTGTCCTCCACCCAGTTACAGGGAGACGCATCTTTGCACCCCCAGGTGCACAGCGGCAGAGAGCTGCACCGAGGGATGGCACCCCCTGGGACCCGCTGGCATCCAGCGCTTTGTGCTGGTCAGAGCCCAGGGCTGTGAGTGGTGGGCTGTCCGCCAGGGCCGCGTTTCTGCTGACTGGACAGCCTTCCTCATGAGCTCACGCTTTCCAGACAAATCCCCCTAATGCCCACATTCTGTCCCCCGCGTATATAGGGAGAGCACGAGCCCTGGCTCCCCACTTCGCTGCCTGGAGGCCCCTGCCCGAATCCCCACCACTGGGGTCCCTGCACTGCCGACGCCCAACATGGACATCACCATCCAGCACCCCTGGTTCAAACGTGCGCTGGGCCCCTTCTACCCCAGCCGGCTGTTCGACCAGTTCTTCGGGGAGGGCCTCTTTGAGTACGACCTGCTGCCCTTCCTGTCGTCCACCATCAGCCCCTACTACCGTCAGTCCCTCTTCCGCACGGTGCTGGACTCGGGCATCTCCGAGGTAAGGCCAGCTGGTCGTGGGGAGGACTAGGCACGGCTGGAGGGCCAGCGGGGTTTCCAAGGCCGGCCCTGGTGCTGGGGCACCAGGACCCTGAGCCCTCGTCTTGTTTCATGGAGCGCTGGTGACATCCACGCGGCCACTTTCCTTGTCCCTCCAAATCCTCCGGACACGCAGAGGCTGGGTGGGCAATCCCACAGCAGAGCCTCCCATGCCTCCGGGGAGGGGCCGGGCCGGGGAGCCCGCCTGAGCCCGACTGCTGTCTTTTCCTCCATCAGCTCATGAGCCATATGTGGTTTGTAATGCACCAACCACAGGCTGGAAGCCCCAAGAACAACCCCACCAAGGCAAGTTCCTCGGCAGACGCGAGCCGCGTGTGCGGCAGCTGCCCTGCTCTCCTTTCAGCAGGAAGCCTGGGCGGGGGTGAGCTGCCCACGGTCTGGAGCCCAGGGCCTCCTCCTCCCTGAAGCCCTCTGCAGCCAGCAGAGATGCAGAGAGTGGGCTCACCCCACATCTGCCAGGTGCCCAAGGCCAGGCCCAAGGGGAGGCAATAAGAGCCCCGGGCCTTCCCTCCTCCAGCCAAGACGAACCCCAGGTCCCGAGTGCTGGAGGGGCTGGTCTCTCTCAGCCACGGTCTAAGCACAGACCCGCCCAGAGTGGACACAACGCCGATCCACTCTTGGGGTTCAAAGAGCCCAGACAAACCTCGGAGTGGGTGAGGTGGAGGGGTGTGTGAAAGTGCTTCGGGCACAGTGCCGTGGGCAGCCAGCATGTGGGCTGTGAGGCAGGACCAGTCCGTATGAAAGGACGGATGAGACAGATGAGGGGACGCCATAGTCTTAGTGCTGGGTCCTCCCAGCCAGCCAGCCAACCTTACCCAGCCAGCCAACCCCCCGGAGCTGCCCAGCCGTAACCAGGCAGGCATCCACAGATGCCACCACCTCGAACCCCCAGTTTCCGGTTGTCAGCTGAGTAGCCACACAGCCCCTAGTCAGGACTCCCTGGGGCCTGATCCCCTGGGAGAGCGTCAGGACAGGTGGAGCTCTGACCTGCGGTTTCTGTTCTGATAACTGGGACGGCGCCACCGGCCACTCCCCAAGGGCCCTCTGGCCTGCGGGGCAGGGACCAGAGCAAGCTCCCTCCCGGAGCCTCGGCCCCAGGCAGACCCACGTGAACGGTGGTTGGGTTTCAGGTCCGGTCTGACCGGGACAAGTTCGTCATCTTCCTGGATGTGAAGCACTTCTCTCCGGAGGACCTCACGGTGAAGGTGCAGGAGGACTTCGTGGAGATCCACGGCAAGCACAACGAGAGGCAGGTGAGCCCGCGGCCCTTCCTGCCCTTGAACCCGGAGAGAGGGGGACTCTGGGGCTCCGGCCCCAGGCGCTTCTCCAGAAAAGGGGGTGGGCCCCACATCCGCCTGAGCACAGCTGCCTCCCAGGGAGGGGGGTCACCCCGGGCCCCCAGCAGCTGGGCGAGTGGCTGGGGCTGTCCCCGGCTCTGTCCCGATCACCGGGTGTGGTGGGGAGGGATGAGGAAGGACCCCAGGAAATGCTGAGGTGGGAGCTCCCAGCCCACGCAGGTTTGCACGTGGACCCCGCTCTGGAGGGTGGGCTGTACTGACGATGCAGCTGCATTTATTGGCTCTCTGAACACTTTACGCGTGTGTCAACACGCTGGCCCTTTAGCAGCCTTCGCGGCTGGTGCCGGTCATCTCGGGTTGGTAGGGGGCGTGGCCAGGCGCAGGGAGGCTTGAGGCCCATCTGGTCCCACAGCTAGGACCAGGTAGGGTGGGGGTGGGGGGTGAGGGAGCCCGGGCACTGGAGCTGGCGGAGGCAAGGTCTCAGGCAGAGCCAGGACGAACCCACAGGCAGCCACGGGCGTGCGACGTCCCCATGCAGAGTGGACGTGGCGAGGCTGGCAGAGTCTGCTTCCCCTGGGCGGGGGTGGGGGGGGGGGGGGGGGGTGGGGCAGAGGGTGGGGCGTAGAGTTCACACGGTTGTTTGGGCAGCTCAGCCCAGGACACTGGTCCCCACTGTGGCTTCTCGGCCTCTCCACCTGGAGGAGGGAAGGGGGCCCAGGGCTGAACCAGGACAAGTGGATCCAGGAGAAGTGGGCGTCCTTGCACCCAGGCAGGGCTTCCTGACCCGTGGACGGACCTGCACTGCAGGAACCCTGAGCCTGAGAGGTCCGTGGGGTCACAGGAAAAGGGACACCCTGACCCAGGGCCAGGACAGAACCGTCCATGAGGTTTCAGAGTGAAATTAGCCTGAAGAGCTGACTCCGTGGCAGCAATGGGCCCCTGGCAGGCCAGGACCGCTGTGCAGGAGGTGCGGCGACCCTCAGCGGCAGCCCCGCCCCGCCCGCGACGCCTGCCCCGGGGGAGCGTCGGTGGGCTGGACCCTCGCGCTGTCCGATGGGGGTTGGCACCTCTGACGGCGCCTCCCCCGACCCTACCCAGGACGACCACGGCTACATCTCCCGCGAGTTCCACCGCCGCTACCGCCTGCCTTCCAACGTGGACCAGTCGGCTCTCTCCTGCTCCCTGTCCGCCGACGGCATGCTGACCTTCTCTGGCCCCAAGGTGCTGTCCGGTGTGGATGGCGGCCACAGCGAGCGAGCCATCCCCGTGTCCAGGGAGGAGAAGCCCAGCTCTGCCCCTTCCTCCTAAGCTTGGCCTCAGCCTCAGCCCCGCCCGCTGCTGCCCCCTTTCCCACCCACAGGGGGACCCTAGAAAGTGGGGCGTTTGTCTTCCTTCTCTTTCTTCTTTTTGTCTTCTTTTCCTCTTCTTCTCTGAGGGAAGGAGGGTTTGCGAGAGTAGCTTGGAGAGCTTGGGGCCTTGGCCTGAGGTGCTGTGACCTCGGGGTGACCTGAACCCCAACACCAGCCACTGGGTGGGAGTGACAGCTGTCCCGCCTGTTTTGGACAGCAGCCCCGCCCTCTCGGGGGACACAGGCCTGTCGGTCTGGCTGAGAGGGCGGAAGGAGAACACCACTGTTGTCTCTGGGTGACTCGGCTTGGGACCTCGGACCCGTGGCGGTGCGGGTCTGCGCCTGCCCACAGTTCCCGGGGGCCCCGAGTCCCACCCACCGGAGGCCCTGTGCCCCCGGCCCTCAGCAGCCTGCTTCCCTCAGTCTACCCTCCCTCCTTCCTGTCTCTACCTACTATGCTCTCGGGGCATCTGGCCACCCATGACCATGCAGCCCATGGCGTGGCTGTCAATAAAGAGCAGGTGACACAGCAACTTCCTGTCTGCTGGCCTTGCTCTCTCCCGGGGGGCCGTGTGGAGAGCTGTAAAGAAGGCATAGGGTCCCCCCGGTCCTGTTCCGTCTCTAAGTGACTGGGTCAGTCCCTTGACCTGGCTTCACAGGAGGGAGAGGGTTCCCAGACCTGCAGGGATGAGGGGAGAGGCTGGGGAGATGGAAGGGAGAACCTGAGGCCCCTTCTCCAGCTCTCTCCGGAACCAGGAACCAGGTGCCAGGGAGTCTCGCCCTCCTGGCCCCCGCCGCCTCTGGGGACCTTCTCCGGATGCCCTTGGGGGTGCCCTGTAAGGCTCCTGTCCAGTCGCTTCCTGGGGGATGAGATTCGGCACTTCAGCGTGGCCACCTCCATCTGACACCACACCCTGGCTCCCCGTGTGGGAGGCGCCCCTGCACCCTGCCCCCCTCCGTGAAATAGGCCCAGGGGTCCTCGGGGCTTGTGGAGACCAGAGCCGAGCCTCCCTTACAAGGAGCTGGAGGCCTTCTCCCTGTTTGCCCAGGTGCCCCGCGTGGGGAGGAGGCGAGGCCGGGGCCCTGCAGCCTCTGGGCAGGGCAGGCGGGGCGGGGGGGGGGCGCTGATAACTGCACAGCGACCACAGAGGGTGAGGGAGGTGGGCAGAAGCGGCCTCTGGGCGCGGGAGCAGCAGACGCTGTGTCTGGATGGCACTGGGGGTGTTGTCGTGATATCAGGCCCTGGGAAGGGCCCCCTCCCAGGGACTGGAGGCGTGGGCGCTGGGGGTGCTGACGGAGCCCAGAGGACAGCCCTTGGGGTGCTGCCCACACTCCTCCCGGGAGACAGGGAGCACCCAGGAGGCGGAACACATGAGACAAGATTTCCAAAAGTGACCTCTGTTCAACACGCAGTGAAGTGGTGCACGCGTGCCAGCACACACACACACACACACACACACACACACACACATTCACACCCCTTGTGTCTTTTTCACCGCTCTGGGTGTGGCTCCTGTCTGAAGGAGGGTCCTCACCCCTGAGCTAGAGTCTCCCTAGCTTTCCGTCACCCCCACACCACTTCCCAACAGGAAGGCCCCCCACTCCTGCCAGATAATCCATGTCGGAGAAAACGTGGGGTGCCTTGTGTGGGTGGCAAAAATGGCCTCCACACGGGGCCAGGGCCCAGGAGTTGGGGGGCTCCTGGAGCTTCCCGCTCCTCCTGGGTCCTTGGAGGGTGCCTTTTCTTTCGCAGCCTGGGGCGCTGTCACCGAGAGCTGGGGGTTGGGGTCCCCTCAGGTCCGGCTGCAGCCACAATGGAGCTGTCATCAGATGCTGATGGCCTTGTGGTCACTGCAGGTCTTGTTTAGGTCTCCCCCGCCCCCGTATTGAAGCCCTAAGCACCCCCGACTGTGACAGCATGGGAGAGGGGGCCTTTGAAAAGAAGAGTAAGTGAAGTGAGGGTCACCAGGGTGTGGCCTAATCCACCATGACTGGTGTCCTGGTAAGGATACTAGACACAGACTCACATTCGCTGAGGACCCTATGAGGACACGGGGAGGGGACAGCTGTCTGCATGGCAAGGGCGAGGCCTCAGGAAAAACGGGCCCTGCAGATGACTTGATCTTGGATCTCCAGCATCCAGACTTCGAGACCCTGAACTTCCGTTGTTTACCCCACCCGCCTGCGTACTCGCCACGCGGCCCAACCTGACTGCTACAGGTACGAGGACACAGCCTGTGGCTGGGCAGGCCTTCTGGTGACAGGGGCCGTAGGCTCACGGAATCTGGATTATGCTTCTCGAGGATCTGCAGGAAGCCTCAGGGCCCAGCCCAGGCAGGGGAAGTAAGAGAACCCCCATCATACAAGGCTCCCCGACTTCCTCAGCTCCGCACACTGGCTCTTCCAGCTCAGGAGTGGCGGGGGTGGGGCAGTCTGCCACCACCGGAGGTTCCCTGACTGTGACGGTCTCACCCCAAATCAGCCCCAGGGACTGCTGCGGGAGGAACTTCTGAACCCGGAGGACTGCCTGTCCCCACCCCACGCCTTCTTCCCGCTCACCTGTGTCTGCCCGGTGTGAGACCTGGAGCGCATCACCTGTGTGGCTGCAGGGTCACCTTGACCAGCTGCCACCACTGGGACTCTGCCAGGCCGGCGCTCCCCTGTCCTCACCCTGTTCATCTCCAGTCACTTGTCCCCGGCCCCCGGGGGACACTCCCCATACAGTCTGGGCCACCAGAGCCAGGTCCTCCCACTCCAGCATACCCGGCTGTCCCCACTACAAAAGCCATAAACATGAGGGTGGCTAGTGTCTCCCAAACCTGCTGACCCCTGGGACCGCTCCTCTAGAATGCTTTGCAAATACGGACTCCTGGCCCCCACCCAGATCCTCCAGATGGCGATGTATGTGCAGGGCTGGGGGCTGGAAGCCTGCGCTCTCCGATTCTCCAGGCAGAGCCTCCAGCCAGGCAAACTCGGGAGACGCTGGCTAACAATGGCTGCCTTCAGGGTGGGGGAGAGTCTCCCCGAAGTTGCCTTTCCCATCCTGGCTTCGCCCCCTTGCCCCGCCCAGCGTGAGACCTGAGCATAGTCACGTGGTTTTGGAGTAAGATGACCACGTCCTCCTCCTGGAGCCCCATCTGCACCTTGAGCAGCAGCTGCAGCAGCAAGAAAAGAACTAAGTGAGCAGCCACTGTGCACAGGGCCGTGCCCACCACACTGGGGCTGGGCGGCCCCCAGGCAGCCCGCCCAGAAGCCTGCGAGGGGCTCCACTGTTAGGGGAGAGATACTGGTTTCCAAGCTGAGTCATCTGCCTGTGCTCCCCTCTGGCGGCATCCTGGCCAGGATCCACCCCGCCTGCCTGACCTCAAAGGCAGGACTGTGAGCCCTTCCGTGGATGGGTTTTACAGGGTCACCCCTACCTAACCTGTAAGTCAGGAGGCACTGAGGAATCCAGCTTAGTCCTGGTCTGCTGGTGACTTGCTGTGTGACCTTGGGCAGGTCCTCACCAGTTTATGATGGTGGTGGACTGATGTTCTGGGGGGCCAGGGCCAGGGGGTGGGGGTCCCTCAACCCACAGATGACTGCTTGAGATTCTAAGACTCACCACCAGGTGGCAGCAGAGGACTTGCCTTGGCTGAGACCTTGCAAGCTGCAGGCGTGAGCTTGTCCCTAAGGTCACCTTCACGGGTCCAGACAGCAGGAAGCAGCAGCAACACACATCTGCAGAGGGCCTGGCTGCTGCGGCTTGGCTGGCGATGTGGAACTGGGAGACCCAGCCTGACCCCAGGGAGTGGTGCCCAGCACAGGAGACTGGAACAGGGAGACATAACACGCCACCCAGGGAGTCAGTGGTATTTCTTTATGATAAGCAGTTTTTGTTTCATTTGCTTGTTTCTAACATCATTTGAAAAAAAAAGAAGTCACTGTCTGGAGATCATCCCTGTGCAGATTGACATAGTACATCAGCCCTCCCCCACTGTTCCTCCTGCCTCCTTCCGCCCCCACCCCAGCCAGCTCCCCAGGCTTCTCCTAGGAAGACTCAGGGCAGCTTCCTGTTCTGTCACGTCCACAAAGTCCAGTGAGGGGCAGGGCAGGGCGGGGAATCAGTCTTGGCAGGAAGCCCCAGAGTCTGAAAGAGGTAGCAGGGTCACGGGTCAAAGGTCCTGCCAGCCAGAGGCTGCGTGTGGCCGCCTGGAAGCGGGCTGAGAGCCGAGGCCTGTGCAGACATGTCAGACTGCAGTTTGAAAGGGAAGGGAGCCCAGGGGCTGAGAGACAGGCCGGCACAAGACTTTCTGAGGGCAGGGCAGGGCAGGGCAGCCTTCTCAGTAGGGCAGGCCTGCCACTCAGCACCCACCTCAGCCTTTAAGATGGGGGGGCATGAACAGGGGAGCCCCACGCAGGCTGGGGGCTGAGAGAGGGGTGGCCTGTCTGAAGGCTGCAGACCCCACGTGGCCCCGGTCAGAGCCAGCGCCCCGGCCTCTGGGTGCCGGGCTGGGAGGCTCAGTCCCCAAGATCTGGGACTGAGTCTGGGGGCAGCAGAGGCAGCAGCCCCACGCCCGTGCGTGCAGGCTGCTGTCACGAAAACAGGCAGAATGGAAGCTCCGCACGCACGCACACACGCACAAACATGCAAACCTGCACACTCCAACACACACAGACACATGCAACCCAACACATGCACACACAGCAACACATGCACACGAGGGCACAAATCCACATGTAAACACACCACTCACACACATGTGTGTTTGCATGTACACACACACCTGCCACCGCCGCAGACAAGCGAGCCGTAGGCTCTATTTCCTGTTTCTCGCTGCACTGGCTTCCCTCTGTGTCTGCTTTGTACTTGCACTTGAAAGACACAATCATACTCAGAGGCTTCCTGCCTGTTTCTCTGCCTCGAGGAGAAGCCTCTCCTGTGTGCAGCACAGCAGAGCTTCCGTACTGGGGGCTCCGAGGGAGACCTGAGGC